CTTGGAGGCCAAGATGGCCAAACTTCATCTCTCATACTTTGGACATATTGTCAGGAGGGACCAGTCGCTGGAGAAGGATATCATATTTGGTGAGGTGGAGGGTCAGAGAAAAAGAGGAAGACCCCCAGAGAGATGGAATGGCCAAGTGGCAGCATCGATGGACTCAAGCATGACAACCGTAGTGAGGTTGGCCCAGGATCGGGCAGTGTTTCATTCTGCTGTGCATAGGGTCACAATGAGTCAGTACCGACTCGATGGCACCTAACAACATCTATTGGACTAAGCATGATGCCCTTTTCCGGGAACCAGTCCCTTCTGATGACATGTTTGAAGTACATGAGACAAAGTCTTACTGTCTCTGCTTCTAAGGAGCATTCTGGCTGCACTTTTTCTGAGACAGATTTGTTCATCCCTGTGGTAGTCCGTGGTATATTTATCATTCTTCACCAACACTATAATCCACAGGCATTAATTCTTCCTCAGTCTTCCGTATTCATTGTCCAGGTTTCATACGAGGCGATTGAAAGGACTCTGCAGGCCTGTACAGCTGGGTCAGAACACAAGGGAGTGGATTCTCAGTCTCCCCGTCTTGCTGTGACTGGGCAGCTGAGTGCAGAGCACAGAGCCGTGCTGGGCTCACGCGCCACTGCCAGAGCCCTCCCCCTGTCAACACGTGGGCTTGTCCATATCGGCACACCATCCAGAGAGCTTTTCCCGGGATCCCAGGGTCTCTGTGTCTTAGTTCTCTCATGTGGTGATCACAGAAACACCGTACGTGGAGGACTTTAGTAAACAAATGGATTCTCTCAGAGGAGAAGGTCTTGTCTCCTTTCAGCCGCTGTAGGCCCAGCATCCCTTGGAGCTCTCCATGTGTCTTGGATCTAGGGACTTCCCAGTGCAGGGACCCCAGGTCCAAAGGGCATACTCCACGTCTGGCTCTCCTTCTGGGTGGCACTGGGTCCCCCTCTCTCTGCTCATTTCTCTCTCCTTTTACCTCTTGAGGGGTTGCAGACCATACCCTTGGGCATCTCCCTGACATCAGATCAGGGTCCTGGTGGGATTAAGAGAAGTGCAGTCCTGGTGTGGCACCGTAGGATAAGCACCGGAGTTCAAATCCACCAGCCGCTCCTTGGAAACTCTGTACAGGGTCACTATGGGTCAGAACCAACTCAAGGGCACTACCAACAGCCCACTCTTATTAGTTTATCACTTCAGGTCACATCATGGGGTGGGGGGTCGTCACATAACTACCACACCGCTGAGAGTCATGGTCACACCAAGCTGAAACATTTTTGGGGGGTGGGGGAATGACAGAGCTCAATCCAGGACACACTATATAGTAGCTCTCATGTCCCTCCCAGCCAGACATCTCATTAACAAAAGACTTCCTCAGGCACCATCTTAAAGTCAGTGAGTCAGAATTGGGGGTTTCTAGGGTCTGGGTCCTTGGTTCCTGGATGTGCCTGTGGAGTCTCTTGTGTGGGTGGCCCCTCCCTCTGGGAGCAGAGTGGAGATGGTGGCACTGAATGTCAGTCACACATGGAAGTCACCCTGTGAAGACTGAGAAGGTGCTAATTGGTGGATGGTGGCTCCCTGCAGAGAAAGTAACTGGTACAAATTGCTTCCCCCAAGAAGCATTCTTTTCCTTTGAAGAACAAACTTCTTAGAACAGCTTCTGGCCCCCTGTTCCTTTTGGAAGACTGTCTTCCTGAGCTCCTTCTGATGGTGGGCCCTGCTGTGGTCTGGCTGCACTTGCCCCCCCACCCCCACCCCCAGCTGAGAGATGCTCTGCATGTGATTGACTATCCACTTGATTTAGGTTTGGAGCTGGTGAGAGAGATGGTCCGTGGGGTTGATGAAACTTTATATCCCCCTACACCTTATTGTTGATGTTAAAGCCAGCTGGGTCTCAGGTTTTATGAGACTAGCCAGCCAAGAAATTTTATTCTCCCTTCTCTTTGGGGATGTGCACGTTGTTACCTGCAAAAGGAATTGGAAACAGAAAAGAAAGAATCTTCAATTTGTCTTCATCTAGGGCTATCCCATGCTCATCTGCAGTTAGTGTGTGGCCAAGTTTCCATGTTCTGGAGTAGAGCTGCTGGTTCCAACTCATAATGACCCTGTGTAGGGTTTCTGAGGAGCGGTTGGTGGATTTAAACTGTGTGTTGCCACTGACTTCTGTGTGGCCACAGGGACAGACTGAGAACATGGAGCACCCGCCTTGGGAACTGACTGTCTTGTGGGACCCCGAAATAGGAGTTAACTTACAGGAGCCCTTTGTCTTGGGGCCAGTGAGGCCTGTGTGTACATAAATGTAATCCTGTGGTGGTACTCTTTGACAAGCTCTCAACCACAAGGTTGGTTTGAACCGCAAAGTGGCCGGTTCCAACTCACCAGCTGCTCCTCAAAAACCCTATACAGGGTCACCATGAGTTGGAACCAACTTGACGGCACTTAACACCAACAACAGTTTATGTAGAGAGAGATATTTAAAGGGAATCGCTCACACGATTGTAGAGTCTGGCAGGTTGGAGATCCATGGGCCAGGTGTCTAGCTGGAGGCTTCTTGTGGTTGCAAGAGGTGATGAACCCAAGATCGACAGGTCAGAAGGCAGAACTGGGGGTCAGAAGATGATGAGTCAGGTGCAGGAAGAGAGAGCAGCAAGTGGGTGTCTCTCCCCACCCCCACCGCCCCCTTTGTTCTAAAGTGCCGTCAAGTAGGTTCCGACTCATAGCAACCCTGTATAGGGTTTGCAAGAACAGCTGATGGGTTTGAGCCACCAACCTTATGATTTGCAATCCAGTGCTTATCTTATTGTTATTAAGTGCCATTGAGTTGGTTCTGTCCCATAGCGACCCTGTATAGGATTTCTGAGGAGTGACTGGTGAGCTTGAACCACCGACTTTGCAGTTCAAACGGCTTTGTAGTCTGGTGCATTAACCCACAGCACCACACCAGGACATGCTTATCTTATAGCACCACACCAGTTTATCTGTTTTTGTCTGTGCATTGGCCAATTCTGGATATTTCCTGTCAGTGGGGTTGTATAGTGTCTGTCCCTTTTTGTCTGACTCACTTCACTCAGCATAACGTCTTTTGTTTATCCCTGTGATAGCTTACATTAGAATGTTGTGCCTCCTCATTTAGACCATAAGTATGCACAATGTGTAGTGTGTGCTTTCATTCATTCCTGGATGTGTGGGTTGCTTCCAGCATTGGTAATTGACAATACTGCTGCTGTCAACATGGTGAACACATTTGTGTACGATCCTCACTTTCAGTGCTCTTGGGTACATTGTACCCAGGAGTGGAAGTGCTGGGTCCACAGAATGAGCACTGGTCTGCGAACCACAAGGTCAACAGTTTGGCCCACCAGCGGAAAGATGAGGCTTTCTGCTTCCACAAAGATGTATAGCCTCAGGAACCCTTTATAAAGGATCACTATACAACAACAACAACAATGAGTCCGAACCGACTGGACAGCACGCAACAACAACAATGGCCAGTGGTTGTATATTTAACTTTTTAAGGAACTGACAAGCTAGTTTCCACAGCAACTGCAACATTTGGCATTCCCAGCAGCAATGCACAAGGGCCCCAATGCCCCCACACCATCGCCACATTTGTTCTTTTCTGTGTTTCCAGTGGGGGTGGGACCTGCGGGCCCTCTGATAGCTGGGCTGTGCTTTCTTCTCTTACAGCCCTTCCTGTTGACCTCTCCGGGTCAGAGCCAGAACCCAGACCGACAACCCCATGATCTCAGCATCGACATCTACAGCCGGACACTGTTCTGGACATGCGAGGCCACCAACACCATCAATGTCCACCGACTGAGCGGCGAGGCCCTGGGCGTGGTGCTCCGCGGCGACCGGGACAAGCCCAGGGCCATTGTTGTCAACTCAGAGCGAGGGTAGGAGGCCTGGTGTGCGAGTCCCCATGCCCACCAGGTGACCCCTCAGTAAATGCCACGCTCTCACAATCTGGAGGGGTTTCCACCCTGTAGGAAGGGCATGTGGGTGGCATCTTACCACCTGTGATTTCAGTAACGGGAAGGAGAGTCAGACTCATGAGCTTATTCCTATGAAGCTAAGGGCACGCCTTCCCTCCCTTCCCTCCTTTACCAATACGGACACCAAGTGTCCCTCCCATGGCACTTTCTGCTTCTCGCTGGGTTTGATAATCCATTACAGTGACCACACAGAACTCACAGACCACACTCACAATTCAGGCTTAGGGATGCTTAGGACTCAGTTCTTCAGTCAGGGCAGCCTCTACCTGTCCGTGCCTACCTCTCTGTGGTTCCTTTAGCACTGACAAGAAACACCCAAAGGACACGCACTCCTCCATAAGCCTCAGCCTGAAGGAGCTTACCTTTAGTTCCACCTGTCAGAAAACCTGGCACCCCTGGGTGCCTAATTTTCCTCATATCTCAAAGGTGATTGGCTTAAACTACAGCCCAGGGATAATGTCCTCATTACATAACACAGAAAACCCTTTTCCCAAAATGGGATGAGTTCCTGAAGTGTACCTGCTCTGTCAAATCTGTTCCAACTCACAGCGACCCCTATAGGACACAGTTGAACTACGGGTATCTTCATGATGGGTGGTTGCTAAGTCTTTCTCTCAGATGGTGCAACTGGTGGGTTCAAACTGCTGACCTCTTGGTTAACAGCCAAGTGCTTGACGACTGTGTCCTCAGGATGCACTACCTCAAGTATAAGGTTATGATTTACAACACGTATGAGGGGGCTTCCAAAAGTTCATGGAAAACTGGAATTGAAAGATAGTGGAATTTTTTTTCACGAACATTCTGAAGCCCCATTGTGTTTCGGGGGCACAGTTGTCCACAACAGAAGGGCAGCCTAGCTTGTCCTGAGACGTGTAAGAATATCTTGGCAGAACAACAGCGGTCAGATGTGAACTCTCAACTTACCGGTTTTACCCAATCCCCATCAAAACACGAACCCTATGCCTGAGTTCTTCCATGGCAGCCCAGCTGGTATCTCGCTTTACACTTACAGTGTAAAGGTGATCAATTCAGTCTGTGCTGATCTCTGCCGCTCCCAACTCTTGGTCCTCAGGGTGTGTGATGGGGTGAGGGCTCCAAGGATGTGCTGATAGACTGTTGTTGTTGTTAAGTGCCATCGAGTCAATTCTGACCCATAGCGACCCTGTATAGGGTTTCTGAGGAGCAGCTGGTGAGCTCGAACTGCCGACCTTGCAGGTCAAATGGCTTACAGTCTGGTTCATTAACCCACAGCGCCACACCAGGACTGCATGATAGACTAGAGGGTCCTAAATAGAATGCCACCAGAGCATGAGGGAACCTAACATGAAACACACGTACAACCCGTGCTCGAAGGTTTGGGGGTGAGAAGAATGGGCTGGCGTCTTCTGTACCCCAGGAACCCAGCTAAAGGCCCAGCATGACATGAGTCCTTCAATAACATACCTCTCAGGAGCCCTGGTGACGCAATTGGTTAAGCATTACTGAAAGATACCAGTTCAAACACATCAGCCGCTCTGCATCCCTAAAGATGGCCGCCTGGGAAACCACTAGCAGTTCTGTTCTTGCTCTATGGGGTCACTGTGAGTCAGAACCAACCTGACAGCTGTGGTCTCATATTTTGGGTTAAGAGTCCCAGGAGGAACGCAGGTGGTGTCATGGTTAGTGTACACTGATAGATCAGTGATTCGAACCCATCAGCTGCTCCATGGAAATAAGATGTGGCAGTCTGTTTCTGTAAGGTTGAGGGTCTTGGAAACCCCATAGGGCCATTCTAGTCTGCTCTCTAGGTTCCTTCAGAGTCCCATCCACCTGACGGCACATAACACCACCCAGTAGGAGTCTGTGATATGTCTAAGAGTCTCCAGTCAAGCCCCATAACTGCCTAGTTCAAATTCAAATGCAACCCATATCTAGCGGGGGCTCCCTGGGGTCCTAAGTAACAAGCCTTGAGCAGAGGCCAATAGAAGAGAAACAGGTTCTGGGATTTGGCAGCCCCAAGTTCAAGTCCCAACTCCACTGCTAGGCCCCCTTGGGCAGGGGAGGTGGATTCTCAGAGACTCCGTTTGGCCTGCGGAGGGCTCAGAGCGGAAGTCCTTGGGCTTCCTGGTGGCTGTGTTAGAGTCTAATGATGCCCTGAAGCAGCTCTGAGAGGCTTGCACGGTGTCGCTGCTGGATGGTTCTGGAAGCTCAGTCCTTGTTCCTCCTGCCCGCAGGTACCTGTACTTCACCAATATGCAGGACCACACCGCCAAGATCGAGCGTGCAGCCCTGGATGGGACTGAGCGTGAGGTCCTCTTCACCACGGGCCTCATCCGTCCCGTGGCCCTCGTGGTGGACAACGCCCTGGGCAAGCTCTTCTGGGTGGACGCAGACCTGAAGCGTCTCGAGAGCTGTGACCTGTCAGGTACTTGTGTGGCGCCCACGCCTCACCTTCCAGGAATCGCCCCATTCTGCCTCTTTAGTCATGTCGGGCTGCCATCAGACACAGTTCTGGGGCTTGGTGACCCTGAGTTCGAATCCCAACTCCACTGCTGGAACACCTTGGGTAGGAGAGGTGGATGCTCAGAGCTCGATTTCCCCTTTGGAGCAATACCTGCCTTTGGGGAACATATAGAAGGCTTGGAGCATAACCCTCACGGGGTTAGGCCCTGAGTGAGGCCAACATTACAGATGCACAGATGAGACTCAGAGAGGGTAAGCAAGCTGCTCAGGGTCACACAGCACAGCAGACGGAACTCTGTTAGAGAAGCCTCTGTATGAGGGGTGGGGGAATCATCCCAGCAGGAAGGCTGGTGCCTTGAGGGTGCATGGGTCTGCATGGCTTCTACTCTTTTGTGAAAGGAAGGGGCAGACACAGTGGCTGGATGGACAGTCTATGCGGGGTCTAGACGTCCAGAGCTTGTCCTCAGATCTGCCTGCTTCCAGAGACTCCATCCGCAGCACCCTCTTTTACCCTCTCTGTTTCCAGAGCACACCCAGTGGGTGAGCTCCAGCGGTCAGTTGACATCATTGTGGACCCTTGTCTTCTCAGGAGCCAACCGCCTGACCCTAGAGGATGCCAACATTGTGCAGCCCGTGGGCCTGGCTGTGCTGGGCCGCCACCTCTACTGGGCCGACCGGCAGCAGCAAATGATCGAGCGAGTGGACAAGAGCAGCGGAGAGCAGCGGACACGTGTGCAGGGACGCATCGCCCACCTCACCAGCATCCATGCCGTAGAGGAAGTCAGCACCGAGGAGTTCTGTACGTGGAGGGGCGGGGTGGGTGGAGGCAGCAGGGGTATGGGCAGTGGGGGCCAACTTTGTGTATGGGTGGGGTGGGGAGTGGGCAGGCTGGGTAGCAGGGTGAAGCATGTGGGGGCTGGCTCTCTGTGTGGAAAAGCCGTGAGGGGCAGTGATGTGTTGGTGGGAGGGATGGGGTGGGTCGCAGGTAGGATGTGGGGATGTTCAAGCCGTGCCAGGAGGACAAGCTAGGGGGCAGGCAGGATGGGATGGGAGCAGCAGAAGGTGTGAGTGGAGTTCCTGAGGGTTGGGGGGCAGCCTGGGTGGGGAGAGTGGGCTCAGAGCTCAGCCCCTGCCCAGTCCTGTCCCTGCAGGAAGATAGGTGGGTCCTATGGGTACCACGACCCATCCAACCTCAGGATAGGTGGGCTTGAGGCTACGTGACCAGCCATTCCTCCATCACTGGACATTGCTCATTGAGGTTTAGCAAGATGTCCAGATGTCCCCAGAGGCGTGTGTGTCCACTTTCTGTTGCTGTGTTACAAAGGTCCACAGACTTGGCAGCTGGGAACTCCTCATCCGATGGCTTTGGGTCACAGGGTTTGCTCCGGGGCTCACACAACCCAAGCAAAGGTGAAGACTGAAGGGCCCCTTGTGCAGGTGGGGTATGGGCTGTTGACCTGGAACTGGTGCCACGGGACCCCCTTCTCTCCCACATGCCCACTGCTCTGTCCTCGTCCTCTGTGGGGGAAGCACTCTGTCTGAGGCTCTTCTCTTGGGGTGAACCCAAAGTCAGCTGCCCTTAATTACAGCTGCAGACCCCTTTAGCTGTGGAGGGGCGTTGTTACTGTGTGACGCCCATCACCGTCACAGCACTGGGGGTTGGTCGGAGAGGAAGCACAGGGACTTGGGATGGTCAGGACTCTGCTGACCTCGGCCACTCTGTGCTGCCACAGCCGAACCCTCTGCACCTCAGCCTCACTTTATCTATGTCTGGCTCTCTGTCTCTCTCTTTTTCTTTGTCTGTGTGTCCCTCTTTGTCTCTGTGACTCACTTCTTTCTGTCTCTTTCTTTGCTTGTCTCTCTGTCTCCTTTTTTATCTGTCTGTCTCTCTTTTTGTCTTTTTCTTTGTCTCTCGCTCTCTCTCCCTTTGTGTATCTCTCTCTGTCTATCTGTCTCTGTCTCTGCCCTAGACACGTGGATCTGCTGGATCAATAGCTTTGGGCTACTTTGTGGACAGAGGTTAGGATGTCCACACTTTCATGGCTCCCAGCACCATCCTCAGTGGAGACACAGACTCCTGTGGGTCACAGACTTGCAGGATTGCTGACGATGATCAAAGCGGTGGACGTTGAACCTGCCCACGTCCAGGCCTGCTGCTGTTGACAGGAAACTTGTTGCTGAGGGAACAGGGATGCCAGGAACATAGTCCTTGAGCAGGGACAGGGCATGACACTGGAGTGTCCCATAAATGACATGGAGAAGCTCCTTGGTCTTAGTGAAGGCAGAAGACACCCAGAGGTGCTTATTTGAACGTGGGCCCCACCTGCCTTCCTGTAAGCTCCCGGAGCTAGCCTCTGAACCAGGGCTAACATACTATATGGCCCCTGGGCCAAATACAGTCCGTTGTATGCTTTGTAAATAAAGTTTTATTAGGACACAGCCTTGCTCCTGTCCAGCTGCATTGGGGCTCCAGCTAGCAGACTTGAATAGCTGTGAAGTGGACTGACCACAAAAGGCAAAACTGTCCATCATCGGGCTTCACTACAGGAAACATTTGCTGACTCTGTGCCAAACCATGACTTTTGCCATTTTAAAAACACTTCATCCTTGTGGGTGAGCAGAGATCCTGCTGTTTTCATTGGGGGGTGGATGACAGAGTATGTCATTCCTTCTCACCTGTGGGTGTGTCAGCCTGTCCTCCCTGCTGCTGGGCGTGCAGGTGTTAATGCCGCATCAGATGAATTAGATAAATGCTGAGTCCTTCCGGTGCCTTTGCAGCTTTACTGCCCGTGTGTATAGTTACCTGTTTCCTTGACTCTGCAAAGGCATTTGCTGTGTGGATCCTGACAAGCTATGGAAGAATGGGTATCCCAGCACACTTAATTGTGCTCATGAGGAACCTGTACATAGACCAAGAGGCAGTTGTTCAAAGAGGACAAGGGGACACTGGATGGCTTAAAGTCAAGACGTGTGTGTATCAGGGTTTATTTTTTCTCCTTACTTATTCAATCTGTATGCTGAGCAAATAATCCGAGAAGCTAGATTATATAAAAAAGCCTGTGGCATCAGGATTGGAGGAAGACTCATTAACAACCTGTGATATGCAAATGATACAACCTTTAAAAAGTCCATTTTAAGTGGACTTAACATTCTTACTGATAAAGATCAGAGACCACAGCCTTCCGTATGGGTTGCACCGCGATGTAAAGAAAACAAAAATCCTCACTCCTGGACTGGTATATGTCATGATAAATGAAGAAAAGGTTGATGTGAAGGATTTCATTTTATTTGGATCCACAATCAATGCTCATGGAAGCAGCAGTCAAGAAATCAGCTCATGTATTGGATTGGGCAAGTCTGCTCTAAAAGATCTCTTTAATGTGTTAGAAAGCAAAGATGTCAGTTTGTGGACTAAGGTGCTTCTGACTTAAGCCATGGTATTTCCACTTGCTTCATATGCATGCGGAATCTGGACAGTAAGGAAGACCAGCAAATTGTTATCTTTGTGTCTTGGTGTTGGTGAAGAATATACCACAGACTGCTGGAAGAATGAACAAATCTGTCTTTGAAGAAGGACAGCCAAAATGCTCCTGAGAAGTGAAGATGGTGAGGTTTTGTCTCATGTACTTTGAACACGTGGTCGGTAGGGACTAGTCCCTGGAGAAAGACATCTTACTTGATAAAACAGAGGGTCGATGAAAAAGAGGAAGCCTTCAGTGAGCTGGATTCACACGATAATTGTGGCCATGAGCTCAGATATAGCAGCAGCAGTGAGGATGGTGTAGTACTGGGCAACGTTTTGTTCTTTTGTACGTAGGGTCACTGTTGAGTTGCAACCAACTTGGTAGCTCCTGAAATCACCACCATACAATGAGAGGCAGAAATTCAGGTGGGCAGTCGGGGGTTGCTGGCACAGCGGAGCCTGGCACAGACAGGCTGGTGTATGAAGCTGGGCAGGTTCCTTAAGTGTTTGTGTGTTCTGTGTTCTCTCTAACATGGGGATGTGAATAGAAGCATCCTTTGTGGACTGCCATCCTGCCATTAGCTGGAGGGTCATGTGTGGGTGCCTGGCACACAGGGAATGCCGGCTCTTGTGAGCGCTTATCTGGCCCTTGTCCCCTCCACCCCCAGACTGCAGCCCCCACAGAGCCAGAGCCTGAGTCCCCTCCCTCATTCCTTCTCTGCAGCGGCCCACCCATGTGCCCGGGACAATGGCGGCTGCTCTCACATCTGCATCGCCAAGGGCGACGGCACACCACGATGCTCCTGCCCAGTTCACCTCGTGCTCCTGCAGAACCTCCTGACCTGTGGCGGTAGGTGTGACCTTGGACAAGGAGCTGGTTCTCTGCCTGCCCAGTCATGGCCCCTGTGGCATCAGTTTACCAAAGCTGATGGTCTGTTCTTTCCTAGTCCATGCACTGAATGCTATGATTTTCCCTCAGAGCACTGCTTTTGCTGCACCCTACCCATTTTGATAAGTTGTCTTCATTTTTCTGTGTACAAAATAGTCCGTTTCTCTCCAGATTTCTTTTACCCATTTGTTATTTCCTGGGTCTCTCTAACCCCACACTGTCCCATTGCCCCTCACCTTCTAGTTGCAGAACCTCGTGTCTGAGTCCTGGGCCCTCCACTCTAGCCTCCACAAGTACATGGGAGTATGGGTCTTCTGCTCTGACACCCTGTTCACTGTGGGGTGCAGTGGAAGCTCACACACAGGTGAGCCTCACAGTCCAGTCCAACCAAGAGGGACAAATCTGGGTCCTTTGTCCAGTACCCTCATGGTGCCTATGGAGACTGAGACCCAGAGAAGGGCCCTCCCACCTGTCCAGACAAGCGAAATCCTCAGCTTTTCTCCTTGGCGTTGAGTTCAGGTTCGCAGTCTGTCCCTTCGCCCTCCAGGGTTAGAAAAGCATATTCACGTCTTCTCCCGTCTTGTGTTGCCTCATCCCCTGCCTTCATTGCGTGCCGAACCGGAGCAGGACAGAGACACCAATTTGTGCGTGCTTCTGTTGTTGGGGTGACACTGCTCTCTGTCCCCACCCAGAGCCCCCCACCTGCTCCCCCGATCAGTTCGCATGCGCCACGGGCGAGATCGATTGCATCCCCGCGGCATGGCGTTGTGACGGCTTCCCCGAGTGTGACGACCAGAGTGACGAGGAAGGCTGTCCCGTGTGCTCCGCTGCCCAGTTCCCCTGTGAGCGTGGCCAGTGCGTGGACCTGAGCCTGCGCTGTGACGGCGAGGCGGACTGCCAGGACCGCTCGGACGAGGCTGACTGTGACGGTGAGCGCCCACCCCGTCCTCATCCCCGTCCCTGCGCAGGGTCCAGCTGGCCGGTCCTAAACTTCTGTTGCTGCTGCTGCCTACTGTAGAGTTGATTCCAGCTCACGGTGACCTCGTGTGACATAGTAGAACTGGCCCATAGTCATCCTCATGGGAGCAGATTGCCAAGTTTTCTCCCAGGGAGCCTCTGGAGGGGTTCGAACTGCCCACTTTTTGGTTACCCTGAGTGTCAGACTGCCACGTCATCAGCACGCTTGTAAGACCTTTATCCACGGGAAACCTCATCAGATCCTTGTCAGCTTGTTCCTGTTGTTAAGTGCTGTGAAGCGACATTGTAGAGGGCTTCTGAGGAGTCATTGGTGGTTTTGAACCACCAACTTTGCAATCAGCAGTGGTTGTGATGGCGTTTGTGTGCTATCAAATCAGTTTCAACGCAAGGTGACCCTGTACAAGGTTTCCAAGGCTGTAAATCTTTACAGGAACAGAAAAAGCCTCATCTCCTGTGAGCTGCTGGTAGATCTGAACTGCTGATCTAACAGTTAGCAACCCAGCACCTAACTCACTGTGCTATACCAAGGGTCCTTTTCAGTTAGCAGTTGTTAAGTGACATTGAGTTGATGCCAACTCAGAGCAACCCTGTGTAGGGTTTCTGAGGAGCAGCTGGTGGGTTTGAACTGCTGACATTGGTTTGGTTTGAAGACAGACATGAGAACACTCTTGCCGTATCTTCCTCAGGACCAGAGGTTTACAGAAATCCAACCAGTAGTAACTGACCCCTAGGTGGTTCTTACCAAACAACTGAACCTGGAATGTTCTCAAGAGATTTGTTTGGAAATCCTGGACCCACTCTTAGGCTTTGACAGTGAAACGGATGAGGGAGCGTCATAAAGTTCATGAAAAAATATGAAAAGATAATGGCATTCTTCCAAATACTTTTGGAAAGGTCCATGTATAACTTCCGGGTTAACGCTTGAGTCCCATTTTATAAATGACCTGGTTGGTTGGTTGTCTGTCACGTGTATGTTTCAGTACCCCGACCCCCTGACTGCCAGCGAGCTGCTACCAGGGTCCCTCTTGCTGCCTTTCCCAAAGCCACAGGGCCCAGCTGATGTCATCTTGTCACCTACACCAACTCCATTCATGATGAGTGACCAGTTCAAAGAGGAGGGCTGGACAGTCACGTCCCCAGATGTTTCTGTGAGGGTGCAGTTGTTCAGGTTTTCCAGCTCACTTACCCCTTGGAGGATTTGATGAAGGCTGCATCCCTGGTGGCACAGTGGGCTAAGTTTTTCGCTGGTAATTTAAAAGTTGGTAGTTTAAACCTCTTAGCTTCTCCATGGGAGAGTGATGAGGCTGCCTGCCCCCGTACAGATCTGTAGTCTCGGTAACCCTGGGGAGCGGTTCTACTCTACCTTGAAAGGGTTGCTATGCATCAGAATCCAGTAGACTGTAGTGGGTTTGGGGTTAGACCGGGAGCTGTCAAATGATGACCCACAGCCCAAATCTGGCCCACTGCCTACTTTTGTTTATAAAGTTTTATTGAAACACTATCATGCTCACTTTTTACACTTTGCTATGGCTGCTGTTAAGGAGCTCTGGTAGCGTAGTGGTTACGAATCGGGCTGCGAACCTTAAGGTTAGCGGTTCGAAACTACCAGCCGCTCCGCGGGAGAAAGATGAGGTTTTCTACTCCCGTAAAGATTTACACCCTCGGAAACCCTCTACAGGGTCGCTATGAGTCGGAACCGACTTGACGGCACTTAACAACAACAACAATGGCTGCTGTTGCTTAAAAGTGCGTTGTTAAGTGCCGTCAGGTTGGTTCTGATTCCTAATGACCCTGAATAGGGTATGTGAAGAGGGAGCAGCTGGTGGGTTTGAAGTGCCGACCTTGTGGTTAGCAATCTAGTGTTGATCCTACCAAGACTCTGTTCAGGTGTGCCTGTGAAAACCAGACAGTTACAGTTTCGGGTTTTGATGGCCACATGGTCTCTTGCTAAATGAGTCCTGGTGTGGCACTGTGGGTTAATGCGCTAGAATGCAAAGTTGTTTGAACCACAAGTCGGCGGTTCAAGCTCATCGGTCGCTCCTTGGAGACACTATACAGTGTCACTATGGGTCTGAACTGACTCGATGGCACAGAACAACAATAACAACCAAGCACTGGGCTGCTAACAAAAGGTCAGTGATTCAAACCCACCAGCTGCTCCTTGGAAACCCTCTACAGAGTCGCTATGAGTCAAAACCAACTCAACAGTGCTTAACAACCACAACCACAACCACTGTAACAGACAGACATACTGTGTTTTTTATAAATGGAAAGTTAGTGGCCAGTCTCCTTCCAGCAGGCTTATGCACCGTGTTCCGACAATGTGTGTTCACTCCGTGTGTCTGTGCTCGTTGTGGTCATTCTCACAACATGTCAGACTTTTTCATCATGCCATTGCATGCTTTGTAGACGACAGATTACTTTTAGATGTACTGGGAAACCAAAAACACCCCCAATTTTTGTCTTGAACCAAACCTGAAGTTTGGCCTGTATAGAGCATGTCTGCTGCCCTCTGCTGTACATGAGCGGAGGTGCAGCCTGCTTGGGAGCCAGGAATCCCCGGGTGATGCTAACAGTTAAGCACTCTACTTCTACCCAAAAGGTTGATGGTTCAAACCCACCCAGAGGCACCTCAGGAGACAGGCCTGATGACCTGCTTCTGAAAGGGCACAGCCTTGAAAACTCTGTGGAGTACTACTTGGCTTGCAGTCCTCTTGACAGTAGCTGGTTTGAGTCTGGAATAGAATCCACCCTTCCCTACGTGTGTTTCTGACTATGGAATGCTTTCCTTCAGTACTCTAAAGCAATCAGCCCATCACGAGGAAGATAATCAGCCTTTGTCTCTGGTTTTGGGGTGAGGCCCAAGCAGGGTGCATAGAAGGACCAGACACCTTCCTGTTGTTGGTGCCCTCTGCTTGGGGGCAGAGACTGTGCTACAGATAGCTCCTGCTCCCTGCTAGCCGTAGATCAGCCCTGGTTGAGGGATGGCATGCCAGCCTACACAGGGATCTATGAGGTGGTGCTGTCTGGACCACCCCGACCCCTTGTACTGGGGGCTGGGGTCCCTGGGGTGCTCCACCCCTCTGAGCGGGCGGCCTCTGTTGCAGCCGTCTGCCTGCCCAGCCAGTTCCGCTGTGCCAGTGGTCAGTGTGTGCTTATCAAACAACAGTGTGACTCCTTCCCTGACTGTATGGACGGCTCGGACGAGCTCCTGTGTGGTGAGTGGGCAGGGGGAGGCTGGGCCGGGTTTTCCCAGGTTGGGGACAGAGGCACAGAGGCAGGACCCCGATGTGGGCCAGGCGGGGCCTGAGTGCCAAGTGTCCTGCTCTGACTTGGAATCTGCAGCATCGTCGGACAGCAGGACTGGCCCTGAGAGGTCTGTGCTCCCGCCCTGTCAGCCTGCAGTCAGCTGGAGAGGTTGTGTGCACCCACATGCGGACACACAGACGTATAGACAGACACACACACATATACACACATACAAACACGTCAACACACAGAGACATACATTATATAGACAGACAGGCAGACATAGATGCATGTAGACACACGGGCACATGTGCAGACACAGACATACACTGCTTGCCCCTTAGGGGCCAGGGACTGAGGGCCATCAGGGAACACTTCTTGAAGGCCAGGGCTCTTCGGGTGAGACAGGAAATATGAATGTGTCTGGGGACATGGTTACTCTTTCACACCGAGGACCCTGACTGAGCACACTGACCACAGGGAGAGGAGACAAAGGGCGTCCCCAGGGGCACCTGGGCACTTCTGAAGTCCACCTGGGTCTGGACCCTCAGGCCTAGCCCAGATAGCAGTGAAAGGGGGTGGTCTGGGCCTGCGCCCTTATGGGGACAGCTCCAGGTTGACGGTGTCTCCTCTGAGTTCCCCTGGGTCAGGGGTATAGCCACCCAGTCACCTGAGCCAGCATTGAGGGATATGGGTCATGCATGACTTGGTACCCCCATTTGGACCAACGAGGACTTTGGCCCTCTGTGGCGGGCTGGCAGGATAGGGGGCCTTTGCAAGCCTGCTAATTCTAAAGTACCCCCATCATCACACCCAGCCACCACCACAGGCAAAGTTCACTGCTGGGTGGGCTCAGAGACCCCCACAGCTAGTCATCTCTACAGTCTGGGCTCAGCCCGTAGCCCACTTGCCCAGTTCCTTTAGGTAAAAGAGGTGGGCCTTACCAGGCCAAGATGGGGGAGTCTGGTGCACGTGTCCAGCCCCTGAATAAAGGAGGGGGCTTTGGCAGGGCTGGTTGTTTTAGGGGCGATGCTAGAGACCACCAGGAAGTGGGGGGGGGCGGGTAATCCATATAGGGGGGTTGCAGCAGGTCAGTGGTACTAGGTGACTGCTGCCCCCAGCCCAGCATACTGCCCCTTCCACTCCCCACCCCCATCACTGGGACACACACAACTCCCCAGCCCCCGTAGAGGCTCACGCTGTCATCCTCCTGGACAGAAATCACCAAACCACCAGCGGACGACACGCCGGCCCACAGCAGTGCCATCGGGCCAGTCATTGGCATCATCCTCTCTCTCTTTGTCATGGGCGGCGTCTATTTCGTGTGCCAGCGCATCGTGTGTCAGCGCTACGCCGGGGCCAGTGGGCCCTTCCCGCATGAGTACGTCAGCGGGACCCCTCATGTGCCCCTCAACTTCATAGCCCCCGGAGGCCCTCAGCATGGTCCCTTCACAGGTGAGGAACTGGAATGGGTGGGGGGCCATGGGCAGAAGTGGGGGTTCCAGGCAGGAGAGCCAGTTGGTGGATCTGGGATGCTGTTGCTTGCCCATGTGGCAGACCTCATTAGTGGATCACAGCACTTGGGCTTTCCTGGTGAACCTACATCTGGCATCAGAATGCTTCTCAACACGGAGGCCTGTGGTACTGGAGGTGTGGGAGACTCTCCTTGGACTTGACCTTCAGTGTCTCATGTCCTGTTGGTGTTGGTGTTAGGTCTGTCCGTCCACTTGGTTCTGACTCATAGTGACCCTACGCACGACAGGACAAAACGTGGTTTGATTCGGCACCATCCTTATGGTTTGAGACCATTATTGCTGTCACTATGTTAGTCCGTCTCATTGGGGGTCTTCTTTCTCACTGACCCTCCACTTCACCCTCCTGTCTACATGTCCAAAGAACAAGAGGTGAAATCTTGCCATCCACTTTTCCAACACAGATTTGTTTGGGCTTCTGGTACTTTGAGTATTCTTTGCAGAAATCATCATTCAAGTGAATCAATTGTTCAGCTGTCTTATTTATTGTCCAACTTTCACGTGCATATGAGGCTACTGAGATACCATGGCTTGGGTCAGGTGCACCTTAGTCCTCAAACTGACATCTTGGCTCTTGAACATTTTTAAGAGGTCTTGTGCAGCAGATTTGCCTAATGCAATATTTCGTCTGATCTCTTGACTGCTGCTTCCATGGTTTTGATTGTGGAGCCACGCAAAATGAAGTCTCTGCGGACTTCAGTCTTCATTTATCATGATGCTATTTATTGGTCCAGTTGTGAGGAATTTTGTTTTCTTTACGTTGAGGTATGGAGTTATGTGTGGTGCTATAGGGTAACCACTGAACTGCTAACCACAAGGTTGGTGGTTCAAACCCACCAGCCACCCCTTGGGAATCTTATACTGGGTGGCTATGAGTCAGAACCAATTCAACAGCACTTAACAACAACAACATTGTGATATCCATTCTGAAGGCTCTAGTCTTTGATCTTTATCAGTTAAGTATTTTAAGTCCTCTTTGCTTCCAGCAAGCAAGGTGGTTCCATCTGCATATCTCAGGCTGTTAATGAGTCTTCCTTTAATTCTGATGCCTATCTACTTCATGTAATCCAGCTTCTCGAATTATTTGTTCAACATACAGATTGAATAAGTATGGTGAAAGAACGCAACCCTGTCGCACACCTTTCCTGATTTTTAAACCACTCAGTTTCCCCTTGTTGTGTTTGAATGACCGCTTTTTGATCTATGTGCAGGTTCCTCATGAGCATAAATGAAGTATTCTGGAACATTCTTCCCAATGTTATCCGTAGTTTGTTAGGATCCACATAGTCAAATGCCTTTGCATAGTCAATAAAGCACAAGTAAACATCTTTCTGATGTTCTCTGCTTTTAGCTAAGATCCATCTGACATCAGCTATGCTACCCCTGGTTCCATGTTCTCTTCTGAATCCAGCTTGAATTTCTGGCAGCTCCTTGTCAATGAACTGCTGCAACCATTTTTTTAATTTTCTTCAGCAAAATTTTACTTTTATGTGATACTGATATTATTCAATGATTTTTGCATTCTTTTGGGTCACCTTTCTGTAGAATGGGCCCAAATAGGATCTGTTCCAATCAGTTGGCCAGGTAGCTAGCTGCCTTTCAGATTTCTTGGCCTAGATGAGCGAGTGCCTCCGGTGCCGTACCAGTGTGTTGAAGCGTTTCAATCTGTATTCCATCAATTCCGGGAGCCTTGTTTTTCCACCAACACCTTCAGGGCAGCGTGGACTTCTTCCTTTAATACCATTGGATCTGGATCACATACTACGTCTTGAAATGGTTGAACATCGACTTTTTCTTTTGGTTACAGTGATGCTTTGTAGCTTTTTCATCTTTTGATGATCTCTGCATCACTAATATTTTGCCCAGAGTGACGATGATGGTTGTGTGCCATGGGGTCATTTCTGGATAGGGTTTCCAAGGCTATAAGTGTTTACGGGAGCAGAAAGCCTCATCTTCCTCCTCAAGAACCACTGGTAGTTTCAGACTGCTGACTCTGAGGTTAGTAGCCCAACTTGTAACCACTACACACACTAGCAAAGCTCCTTCATTATTGTGAGTGGAGGCTGGAATGTATCCTTCAGTTCTTTCAGCTTGAGAAATGCTGAGTGTGTTCTTCCCTTTTGGTTTTCTAACTCCAGATCTTTGCACATTTCATTATATTTGACTTTGTTTTCTTGAACTGCCCTTTGAAATGTTCAATTCAACTCTTTGATGGCATCGTTTCTTGCATGTTTCAGAGTCTCTTCTGACATCAGGTTTGGTCTTTTCTTTCTAATGACCTTTTGCTTTCTTCCTGTATGATGTTCTTGATGTCATCTGACAATTCTTCTGGTCTTCAGTTGTTAGTGTCGAATGCAGCACATCTGTTCTTGAGATGACCTCTGAATTCAGGTAGGCTATGTTCACTGTCGTATTTTGGCTCTTCTGGACTTTTTTTCTTTTCCTTCCACTTCAGCCAGGACTTGCCTATGAGGAATTGATGGTTCACAGTCATCAGCGCGTCTTGTTCTGTCTGATGACACTGAGCTCCTCCACTGTCTCTTCCCACAGATACAATAAGTTTGATTCCTGTGTATTCCATCTGACGAGGTCCATGTGAACAGTTGCCTTTTTATGTTGTTCAAAAAGGTGTTTGCAACGAGTAAGTCGTTGTTCTTGCAAAATTCTATCATTTCTAGCACCAGGGCCATATTTTCCAACTAGGGATCCTTCCTCCTTGTTTCCGTCTTTCTCACTCCAATCACCAGTGATGCTCAATGCATGTTGATTTCAGGTTTGGTCAGGGTTCACATCCTGAGTCTTCCTCACAGCCTCATGCCCCCTCGAAATGACCGTGGGTCAGCTGGCCTCTCTCCAGAGCCACCCCTAGAGCCTGCAGCTTCATCCTGAGCCCTGTCCTCCATTGTGGTCAGGTCCTGGATCATCAGGAATGCCCACCCACCAGGTTCCACGTGCAGGTGCCCCAGGGTTTGCACCGGGAGGGTAACTCCTACCCCTTCATATCAGATCTGAGAAGGTGGGGTCCATCGCGTCCCAGAGGGTCACTTGAGGCCAGAGGTCCCACAGGACCCACACAGCCCAGCTCCCTCTCTCCTGCAGCCCCTCTCAGAGATGCATGGCTGTGCCCGTCCAGTACTGCCTCACGTTGACCTGATGTCCACATGCACATGCCACCTGCTTCTTGTGGGAGCGGGGCAGGTGGGGATTCCTGAGAACTCTGGAAACCCCCAGTGGTGAGGACAGGCACACTCCTGTCTGTCTCAGCAGGCTGTGTCCAGACCCTCTAGGGGGGCCACCATTCCCCCACCTGTTTACAGATAAGACTCCCCGAGCTCACACTGGCAGGGACTAGAGGGTCGTGTGCTGTGGGTCTCACAGGTCTCTCCTGCCCGCCCCTGATGCTTGGTGAACAGCAGGAGCCCCCTGACCACCTTGTTCCGTCCCCTGCAGGTATCTCTTGCAGCAAGTCCATGATGAGCTCAATGAGTCTGATGGGGAGCCGGGGCGGGGCGCCTCTCTATGACCGGAACCATGTCACTGGGGCCTCGTCCAGTAGCTCTTCCAGCACCAAGGCCACGCTCTACCCACCGGTGAGTGACGTCGGCGTCCGGCCAGGGTCATCCTGGCCCCTGGTGAACTCAGCATTTCTAAAACCATCGTCTCTTCCTTTTATTTTTAAACTGTATTGTGAACTGAGTAAAGGTTTACAGAGCAGCTGATGAGTTTTGCCTTCCACCAATCATACCGTCTGTTTCGGGTCAGTGACATCACTTCCTCCCTATGCTTCCTGTTTCTGGTCCTCTTCCTTTCCCTGATTCAGTACTGCCCTTTGATCTCCAACAATGGACATTCTGTGGTGTGGGTACCTCACTAGTGCCGTTGTTGGCCCCCTTACATACCTATCTACTGCTTGGCTGAAAATTGGGCCACAGGAGTGATAAAATGATCATGTCTTCAACACTCCCCCCATAATGATAGATGTGCTCGCTCCCGGCCCCCACCACTGGGTTCCCTCTGTTTCCACAAGGGAAGTCCTTGTCCATTGTGGGTGGGTATTTGAGGACTACACAGAACTACCTGAGATGGACTCTCGCTCTGACCTGCTTCCCAGGACTTCTGTCTAAACCCCTTTGGTGTTCTGGGGCTCCCCATTTGGGACCACCTGGACAGTACTGTTCTCCTCATTGCCCCCCCAGTCCCCGCCAAGCTTCTCCTGCTTGTCTCCCACAGCCTCATCCTACTGCCCCACCGGTGTACTTGTCCTGTGGCTCTCATATCCAAGTACCACAGAGCGGGGTGCTTAAGACCATGGGAATGCACTAGCTGAGGCTTTTAAAAGCTGTATGTGCACAGTTAGGGTGTCGCTGGGGCCGCCGCGTCTGTGCTGTGGGCTCCCAGGAGGGGCCTATCTGGTCTACCCGGTGTCTGGGGACTGCATTGCTCCAGTCTGTGTCATCTGTCCCTCTGGGTCTCTCCTCTTTTTTTTTTTTTTTTTTTAATTGTGAATTGAGTGAAAGTTACAGGGCAGATTGTCAGGTTTTTTTTAAATCATCAGTTTTACATTCAAGAAATCATATACCTCGTTTCCTTACAATGATTATAATCCCCTCTATGTACCATCAGTTAACAGTATTTCTCTGGATTCATTTTAGCTCTATTTTTGTTTCTTTTTAAACACTGAGGCATATATAATAAGTCAGACCACCAAAGGGCACATTCTGCAAGTCTGCCTCCTGGCCGCCAGCTCCCAGTCCCTCTCGTCCCATGAATCTAAGGTCCTCAGCTGCTCCCTCTTTCCATGTCCCCATCTCTGCCTCCATCCCTGGTGTCGCTGCTTCTCTGGATAAGGTCCCGCATTCCACTTGTGTTCTTCTCCCTTGATGATCCTAGGGTCCTTTGTTTCTGGACTGTATCATTAACTACTGTTGTTATGTGCCATGGAGTTGATTCCGACTCATAGCGACCCTGTACAGGGTTTCCAAGGTTGTAAATCTTTACAGGAGCAGAAAGCCTCATCTTTTTCCCGCAGAACAGCTGGTCGTTCCAAACTGCTGCCCATGAGATTAGCAGCCCAATTCGTAACCACTACGCTCCTTAAGATTAACCACTTCCTTGTTTTTGTTACAAAACTTTTATCTTTACACTTGTGACAGTCAGAATTAGTCATGATAACAATTACTCACTGTTGAATCATAGGAATCTTATCCCCATTTCTTTTAACCAGACCCATCTAGACAAGATGAAAACTATTCAGTGGGGATCACCTCCTCTTTTATAAGAACACCAATCATTGGATTGTTGTTGTTGTTAAGTGCCATCGAGTCAGTTCCAACTCATGGCCACCTTGTATAGCGTTTCTGGGGCTTTGAATCTTTGCAGGAGCAGAAAGCGTCCCCTTTCTCTGGTGGTTCATTGTCCAGTGCTTATCTTACAGAGCCACCACACTTTGGGTTAAGTAGGGTGTGTTTTGAGTCAGTCTCTTCTGAGATATAAAAGACTGTGAATCAACAAGCGAGGCAGCAGGGATGGAGAAAGAGAGATGCCATGTTGCATGAAGATCGCTCAGGAGCTGAAGCTGAAAAAAGACAAGGCCCTCCTTCCCGAGCTAGAGAGAGCTTTCTCTTAGAGCCGGCTCCTGGAATTCAAACTTCTAGCCTCCTGGACTTTGAAAAAATAAATTTCTGTTTGTCAGAGCCACCCCCCTTGGTGTTTCTGTTTCAACAGTACCAGGAGACTGAGACACTAACTCAACACTGTTCCAGAGGAGCGGTCAAGGGAAACATGGTGCCAGGCTGCTGGGCTGTCCAGGACAGATACCACACGGAGGGTGGAAAACCCAGAGGAAGGGTGGGTAGTTCCCAAGGAGCACTGGGTGACCCCTTCTTTGTTCCCCTAGATTCTGAACCCACCACCGTCCCCTGCCACAGACCCCTCCTTGTATAACATGGATATGTTCTGCTCTTCAAACATTCCTGCCACTGCTAGACCGTACAGGTAAGAACCCCACTACAGCCCTGGGCCAGAGGATGGACCCATTCCACAGGTGGGCAAACCGAGGGACAGTACACTTGGGCTCTGCTGCCTTACCCTGAACACACCTGGCTGCCTCCCATTGAGCTGAGTGGGCTGGTGTCTTCTGAGCAGGTGCTCTTACTTGTGGGGTGATCTGTGGACCTGCACACGATGGTGGCAGATGTAGGTCTTAAATTATACCACAGGGGTGTTCGCGCCCATATGGCCAGGCAGGCCCGTGGTGTCCTGAAGGCTGATGTGTGGGGGTACAGGATTGGGCTCTAACGGCGTTGTGTGGACCCCAGGGACTCTGGCAAGGGACACTTCTTCTCAGGGTCTCCGACTGACACCCAGCACGTGGGGGGCCCTAGACGTATCTGAGGCCCAAGGCCCCAAGTGGCGCAGATCATACACTTGACAACCAACATAAAGGTTGGCAGTTCAAACCCACCCAGCAGTACCACGGAAGTAAGGCCTGGCACTTTGCTTTCGTTAGGACGGCAGCCAAGGAAGCCCTGTGGAGGATTTGTCCTCCGTACCACATGGGGGCGCCATGAGCCAGAAGCCCTGTGGAGGATTTGTCCTCCGTACCACATGGGAGCGCAATGAGCCAGAAGGGCAATGGGCACTTGCTCCATTCTCAAAAACATGTTGTTTAAATCTGAGACACCCCGAGGGCTGCTTAGTATGATCAGACCCTGCCTCCTCCAAGGCTCCCAGGCCCACCTCTCCCTCCAGGTAGAGAGGGGGCACTCAGGAATGCTGACAGCCTGCACAGGGTTTCTGAGGCTGTAAATCTTTATGGGAGCAGAAAGCCTCATCTTTCTAACTCAGAATGGCTGGTAGTTTCGAAGTGCTGACAAGTGGAGTCTCAGACAATTGGTCTGTGTCATGGGGCCAGATCAGAGTCTGGGTGCATGCAGGGAGCCTCGACCCTTTATCTCAGTGGTCATAGCCAACAGCACCCACCCCCAGGCACACAGAGGCCCCTCTCCCAGAGGATCCTGAGTCTGATGGAGTAGGTGGTGGGCGGCAGGAAGGGACCCCAGCGCTGGGAGGTAGAGTCTGTGTGGAGGCCACCTGGTTACATTGCCTCCTAGTGGCCACTTTCAGGAACTCCACAGTCCAGCCGCAGTCTCTCTCTCCCATCCTGTCCTCTCCCAGTTAGAAGTCCTAGACAGACGTGTATCTTCACTTCACGCATCACTGCTCTGCTCAAGGGCCTGCAGTGGCTCCCTAGTACCCCAGCGGTATGGCCAACAACCACTATTCACTGTGGCTGTCACGGTCCGCTCCTTGTCTGCTACTGGCCCCATGATTGTCAGAGCCCTGCTGGACAGACTTGTTCATCTCAGGTCCTACCCTGTGCCTTTGATCTCATCTTAACCCCCCTCCGCACCATCCCACTTCCCAGTACTGGGGTCCCTTCCTGCCCCCAGAATCCCTCTGTCCCGGCCTCGGTCCCAGACTCTGACGTAGGATTTCTAGGTTTTGTCTGGGAGACACCGTCATTGTGAGGGGGAGAAGGGAATATCCCTGAGCCCATGTTTCATCTCAAGAGGGGACTGCCCTGCCATGCAGCCCCAGCGTTGGCATTGATGACCCAGGACTTCCCTGTGTCCGGCGCCGAGTCTCTAGTATTTTCCACAGCGTCTTCCTGTGAGCTGGGTGCTGTTTCACCATCTGTTTCATCCAGGAGAACTTAGAGTTCAGAGAGGTTAAGTCAGCGGCCTGGGTTACTCATCTGATAGTCATCCTGGGTCCTTGACTGAGGACTCCGGTCCTGGCCAGGGCCCCGGCTTGGAGCTGATATATTTTCAGGCACACCTGCTGTACAGGTGACGATGGTCAAGCGCAGAGACAGGGTGCTCAGCCTGGGTGGGTCCCCAGCAAAACCTATTGCAGGACTCCTGTTTGCTAATAGACACGCCTCTCCCCGCCAGCATCCCCTCACCCGTGGGCGTGGTCCCCACTTTCTCTGTCCCTGCAGGCCGTACATCATCCGCGGCATGGTGCCCCCGACAACGCCCTGCAGCACCGATGTATGTGATAGTGATTACAGTGTCAGCCGCTGGAAGGCCAGCAAGTACTACCTGGACCTGAACTCGGACTCAGACCCCTACCCGCCCCCACCCACACCCCACAGCCAGTACCTGTCCGCCGAAGACAGCTGCCCGCCCTCACCCATCACCGAGAGGGGTTACTTCCACCTCTTCCCACCTCCGCCATCCCCCTGCACAGACTCGTCCTGACCTTTCAGTACCCCTGTAAATAGGTTTAAATATGAACAAAGAAAAAAATATATATTTTATGACTTCAGAAATAAATATAGTTGGGATTTAAAAAACAAATAAGAAATGTGAATCGTGATCGGGTGGGCAGGGTCGGGGAGAACTTTGTACAGTGGAGAAAATATTTATAAATTTAATTTTTTAAAACGTTAACTGCTCTTCTCTTGTACCACAGTGTGTGTTTGAGTTGAAATCTCAAAGTGGTGTCCCTAGGGAGCGAAGGCCAGGTTCTGGCCCAAGTCTGTGGTGTTCCCCTGGGCGTGGGTCTCTGTGTCTTCTGGTGTCCCACAGGATGGGTGAGACCCTCGTGGGCAGAGAGCGACTGTTCATAGGATGGCCGGGCTCATGAGCACGAGACGTGGGTAATTTCAAAGGGCCTGCCCCTGGTTTCATGCCTGGGTTTCCTGTTTTAAAGTTCATGATCACTTTTGAGGAGACTTGCTGACTGTATGTTTGGCGGTTCGAACCCACTAGCCACTCCACAGAAGCCCTATACAGGGTTGATATGAGTTAAGACTGACTTGACACAATCACTTTTTTTTTGTTTGTTTTCAAATATTTTTTTTCTTTTATTATAAGATATATAGGTAAAAACTTGTATATTCTGAAAAATATAAAAAATGGTAATAAAGTGGACATTATTCCTGTTGAGAGAGATGTTCACAAATATACTTATCAAATATTAAAATGCTACTATTTAGAAAAATAATAATAGAGCAGAACTGTGGCAAATGAGGAGGACAATCCAAAGTATAGAAGTATTTGTGTTAGGCATTCTATAAAAATTCAGCCTACTGATTATATTTAAAACCTTGGCATTTTACACTTCAGGTTATCAATAATTTCGATTTTAAAAATGTTTTGATGGCTTCATGATTTCAAAAAATAAAAGGTGGTTTCACTAAGTAGAATTGGATTAAAATAATTTCCCCAAAATAAAAAAACAACTGTAAGAACACAGCAAAGAGAGCATTTTTGAACCTATAAATTATACATATGTTGTTGTTGTTGTT